CCGAGGTGCAGGACCTTGTACTTGGCCTTGTTGAACTCCATGAGGTTGGCAGTGTTTCACCTCTCCAGCCTGTCCAGGTCCCTCTGGATCGCATCCCTTCCGTCCAGCATGTCACCACACCACGCAGCTTGGTGTTGTCAGCAAACTTGCTGAGGGTGCAACACCTATGTCATTGATGAACATGTTGTATGGTTCTGGTCCCAGTCTTGGCCAGACCAGTGGTTAATGCACAGAAAATGGCAACATTAGCCCAAAGCATCACGCCATCACCAAGCTCCTGCCTCAGTTTCCCCTGCAACGCAGTCAGGCACTTGCAGCCCTCACAGCTTTTGCCTGCGGGCCATGGTGTTTAGAGGGAGAGATTTCTTTCTGCTAATGTGACGATCCTTGAATAACACAAGCAGGCAGGAAGGAAAATGTAGGGACGTGAAAAAGTAAAAATAAACTTGTCTATAAATAACCCCTCTCCAGCAGCGCCGGGTGGCACGGCATGGTAAAGCCCCTTCCAGGGACAGGCAGCTGCTTGCAGTGTGCCAGCAGGAAAATGGAGATTTCTTTAACAGCTACAAGAAATTGCTCTTTTCTTGGTGGAAAAGCGGCCTCGAGCGACCACCTCTGGGCATCCAGAATAAATGGGGGCTCTTCTGCAGGAAGCCAGTTCGGCCAAGGGAATGTACGTGGGGAGGGGCAGGCAAGGAAATTTGGAAAGCCTGGATTGGTACCTGTAATTAGCCTCATCGGACAACTGGGACTGATTTTCCCCTATCTCCAAGCAAAGTCCAGTTTAAAGTTATTCCCGTAAACCCATGGGAGAAGGTGACCTGCTTCAGAAAAATCCTGTTTGTAGACAGATGCTCTTCCCTGTACAGGGTCACCAGCATCCCTCCAGTGCCACATCCTGGATCATTCCCAGTTTCCTGGATCGTTTCCAGCATCCTGGATCGTTCGCAGTCCAGGTCATGTTTTCCTTGTCAGACTCATTCCCTACAATGCCCGAGCAGCAGCTCCAATCTGTGCCATGGCAGAAGGGTCCCCAGGACCGTTGAATCCCTTAGGAAAGACCTGCCTGTTCCAAGAAGCAGGGCCAGGTGAGAAAACATGCATGGTATGGAGACCTCCACAGAGCAAGAAAGATTTTCTGCACAGGAGATGATCAGAGATATCCCAAGAAACCCCCAAAAACTGTTCAACCAAGGGCAGATCAGAGGAGGACTGCAGGCACGAGGGCACGGAGCATCCCTGTGCTGTCACCCCAGGAAGTCCAAGGATGCTTTGCCCTGAGAGCTCCAGAGGTGCCTCCTAGGGAAGCACCAGCAGAACAGAGCCCCACGGAAAGCCTCAAAGGGGAATAAATTGTGTCTGCACATGACCTCAGGGCTAAGGGATGTCCACTCATGCAGTCCTGGGCTTCCCAAAAATTCCCTGAGACCCAGCGCTGAGCCCTCTTCCAGTATCCCCCTCAGTTTTCCTGCATCCTCACAGCCAGCCCAGCACCGGCCCCAGACATGAGCCAATTGCATCCCAAAAATCCCAACAGGGGAAAACCAAACAGATTTCCAGTTGAAACTGGAAAGCTATGGGGATACCTTTAAAGAACACAGATAAAAGCGGGATGCCGTATGTAGGCAAAGCGCAGGCAGCACAGGAGACACGGCGAGCACAGGTTATATTTAGGGCAATCCAATAAAGCTGGACTTTGACCTTAAAAACAGGGACTGAGTGCAGCTGGGAAGGAAAGCAAAGTGAGCAGCGAGCTTCACAGAACTCATATTAATGCATCGAGCTATCGCAGCGCACATATTTATTTCGTCAAACTGTCAAAAATGGCACCTTTATGGTTTTATATAAAGAGGCATTAGAATAAAAAACACTTCATAGGTTAAAAAAAAAAAAAAGAATACATTTCCCAGGTTTTTATATTGAATAGGATTGAAAAGCTGAGCAAAAGGGGGCCGCAAAGGAATCATAGAGCGGAGCGGGATGGGGAAGCTGCATTTTCCTCTGGGAAACGGCAGCGCTGCCCGGTGTAACATATGGACGGGCTCTCTGACGCATCGATCAACACGGGTGTTTGCACACTTTTCAAAAAGCTTTTGGCCTGAAGCTAGCTAATAGATGGAGATCTAAAATGCTGCTGAATTTGCCCAGATGACTATTTTTGATCTCAAAAATAAAGCATATTTTTGCAAGCCCCCAGCTGGGGAGAGCCAGCCCTGTTTGGGGTCACCCTGCTTCCAGGGAATGCAACTCCCAAGCCAAATGCCGCCCATGAACCCACCAGGATTGGGAGCAAGCGATGGCATGAAGAGCCACAAATTTGGGTTGAAATCCTTTGAAATCCCCCACCCCAACACCCACAGAGCTGGGACCGGGAGGTGACACTTTCAAAGGGGCATTAGGAAGGGATGATGCAATATTTCACCACTCATGGCTGTGGGAAGCGTTGCCATTTCGGCACAGACCGTTTGAAATGCTGCCAGGAGGAGGCTGGAAATTCAGCCTCACCTTGGGGAACCATCTCTGAGAGAAGGTAACCCACGGTGGGACGCAAAGCGGCACTGTGTCAAGCCCCACAGCCAAATACACAGTCTAGAAGTGAGGGAAATAACGGAATACTCAGAAAAAAATGTATTTCATGTGACAACAACTGCTCCGGGAGCAGCTGCAGCCTCCCCTCCCTCGAGGCCAGCAGGGATTTTGGTGATTGCCCACCCATGCAAGGAGTATTCTGGGATGCTCATCGCTGCGTTTCCCACCACACATGCAGATGACAGCAGGCACGTGGCAATTTCTTGAGACTGAGGCAACTCTAAAGGTGTTTGAGGTGGTTTGGAAGACCCCAAATCCCAGCTTTCTCTCTAGTCAGCTGCAAGAAGCCCCATCCAGCAGTCTCATTCCTGTATCCTGCTGTGATATCCCTGGGAATCACCAGCCAGCAGCTCTTCAAGCCCCCAGTCTCCTTCCAATAGTCCCATTCCAAACTCATTCCTATTAATCCCATACCAAATTTTGGATATAATAGAGAAAACACCTTTGGGAAAGGGAAGAAATGCTCCAGGTTACCCTGACTTGCAGTGTTTCCCACATCCTCGGGAGCGAGGAGACGCTGTGGGCAGGCCCCAGCCCCGCAGAGCATCATCTCTCCTTGCACGCACCTGGCTTTCCCCCCTCTGCTCCCTTCTGGCCATTTCACAGACCATTGGACCCAACACTTGCACCCTGCTGTGCCTTCCGACACTAGAGCTGTTCTCATGGAACCAAATTATTTATGAAATGTGGTGATCATGCACACTGCTTTATGCAATTAGAGGTTTTTTACAACATGGCAACACTCGAGCAGGGTCCAGACCCCATCATCCATCCAGGGACCCAACCAGGGCACCATGCAAAAACCTCCACCCAGGAGAGAAGCTGTCAATTCCACCCCAGAGATCACACCACACTACATCCTTCCTGGTTAAAACAAACAATTCCTGTCTCAAGCGCCTTTCCTACCAGAGATGAACCTGCCTGGCCTCACTCAGATGGGTTTGCTACCTGCTTTGCAGCACAAATCACAGCCGAAGGAGGACAGGGAGGCATGGCCGGCCTAACATTTGACTGCAGGAAGATGTTTTGGAAAGAAAAACTGACTCCGGCTGAGCGCGAGACGTCGGAGCTTACCTGGTGATGATGGCGAGGTGGGGAGGGCTCATGCAGGCTCCCATGAAGAGCACCACGTTCTCGTGCCGCGTCTGCCGGTAGGCCATCACCTCCCTCTTGAAGGCCTTCAGCTGGTCCTCGTTGTCCCGCTCGATGTCGATGAGGCGGATGGCCACCTCCCCATGCCAGCGCCCGTGGAAGACCTGCCCGAAGCGGCCCTTGCCGATGAGCTCGCCAATCTCAAGCTGCTCGAAGGGGATGTCCCACTCTTGGAGGAAGATGCTGGTCTGGCTGGCCTTGCGGGGGAAGTTGCGTGCGGACAGGAGCGAGAGGTTCATCTCCTCAAAGTCATCCTCGGACTCTTGTGCCTCCTCGGTGCCTTCCTCATTCTGGAGAGGGGGAGGAGGGCAAAGGGAGGTGAGCACAATAAAACAGGGGGAAACGAACTGTGGCCAAGGGAAATAACGTGGACAAAACCCCACTCACACACCCACCCACTTGTTCAGATCCAGAGAAACTGAGCAAGTACCTTCCAAAGGCAACTGGGCATCTGTGCTCTAAGCAAAGCCAGCAGAAACCCAGATTTTGCAGGGAGGCGTTTATTTACCCCAGGGTTAATGGAAGAGCTACACACCGGAGCATTTAATTAATTCATCTGAAAGCAGCGCCTCATCCTACCGCTGACGAGCTGTGCTCCGCTAATACTGACTGCTCCCACCCAGCACCCCCCGTTTGGCACCCCCAGCCCCAGGGCAGGTTTGGCTTTTCCCTTGATGTTCTCTATATGCTTTCTATAGGATTTACAGTGCCCATTAAAACTGCATCCCCATCCTCCCCCTTCACCCCGCCACGTTTTTAATGCTTCTCAGAAAAGCTCATTGACTTATAAACCTGAGGACAGACACGAAGCCCATCAGGGTCCCTCTTCATGGGGTGGGGACACGAATGCCTGGGCAGGATCAGACGTAGCCATTAATTCAATTATCAGAAATTTCACTGCACAGATGCTAAACTTATCTGGCTCCTGTGAAATGTGCCCTAAGATACATATAAAATAAAGGCCCATTAAGCAGAGGGGCGATCCCACTGTCTCACCTCCGAGGTGGGCTCCACTTCAATTTGAAGCAATGGGTTCCCTTCCAGGCTGTTAAAAGAATTACTGAATTACCGCTGGGTAAAAACAGTTAGGTGGGGAGCACGCGCAGGCACCGAGTCCTGCTTCCCGCAGCATCGCTCTGCACCAGGACCAGGGAGGAGAAGAATCAGGCTCACTGCTAATCCGGGAGAGCAACCCCTTCCCACCCACACCCTGGCTGCCTCCATCCCTGACGACAGCCCTGAGTGCTCACAGGGGAGCAGGGATGAGCAACATTAATTATTGCATTAATTAATATGGATGCACGAAGTTCCAGGATGGATTCGGTGACGTGGGAACACTCAGACAGGTCTCCCCATCCTGTAGCCCAAAGCACATGGTGCGGAGGAGGCACCATCACCACATGCCCCGGGAGGAGCGAGCAGGAGGATCCTGGAGGCCAGGGCACCGCAGATGGGCATCACCCCTGGCTAATCTGGGGAAGGGACAGATTTACACCCTCACAGCTCTGGGCCCTATCGAAGCAGCACTCGTGGCATTTTTAGGTGGTTTCTAAGATCAGAATTACCTTCCCAACACCAGCCAAAGCAACTAGTGTGTCTGATTAGCAGCCAGAAGAGAAGAAAATGGGGGTTTCAATTATTTTTGAGAAGTGGGGGTTTCAAAGACCCTCCCTGCAGTAAGAGCACCCAAATTTGTCCTCACAGCAGAGCCGGTTTAGCTTCCCAGTTCCTCAAGCCAGGATCTCCTCTTTTTCTTCTCCACTTCCACAGCACCTCCCACCACCAGGTCCATGACCAAGGACTCGCCGCACCCCACGGCTAATGGGGAATTAGGAAAATTCAGTGGGGAAGACCCACCGGAGCAGCTCGGGTGGTTTTGAGCAAATTTTAAAATAGTATTATCAATAATATAAATAAGAGCTTCCCCTCCAAGATGCAGCTAGGATTGTGCTTCCTATCCCATTCCAATGCCACTAATGAGCCATAAATCCCAGGGGAGACACAGGTGCATATACAAGGAGTGGACCCCGGTATTTTAAGCTGCATGGAAAGCCCAGGCAGATGCAGACGGGTTCTGCTGCCCATCACAATGCACGGGTGGTTTGCAGGAGCAGCAGTCTCCTCCCGGCTGATCTTTAGCCCAGGCACGAATACCTGTCTCCCGAGTATCCAACCGTACGGAGCAGAGGTGGCTGCTTAACCCAGCCAAGCCCTGCGTAACCTCAGCGGCTCCCGTGGGTTATTTTCAATGGGGTGAGCAAGAGGAGAATCACAGATTCTGCATAGCAAAAGCTCTTTTTCCACAAAAGCCTGCCAGCCCTACGCCTCATTCCTTGCTGTAGGCAGGGAAGGGAAAAAAAAGGCTTCGACTTCTCCACTTTGCCATTAATTTCCCAGGCGCCAGCGGCTCCATCCCCTTCCATCCCAACGCCTCCCACAGACAGAGGTGAGATCCACTGGACCCCCCAGCAGCTGCCAATGCAGTTTGGAGTGCGTGGGCGAGCCGGCCACAAACCACATGGAGTGAGCCCCTATCTGTTAAACTCCTGGCTTGTAAAATCCTTCAAAAATGGCATTTATAAAATGCCAGCAACCCTGAACACGGCTGGGCGGTGCTGCCAGGGCAGCACAGGCACAAGGACCTCGGGGAATGCCAGATTCGGCAGAGCAGCTCGGACCCGACTGGCAGGGAGAGCTAGTCCTAATGCTAATTAGACACTGCATCTCAAACTTCAGTGCAACGTTTATTGGACTTAAGAATATTGCAGGTGGGGTGGCAAGAACCAACTTTATCAAAATCACTTCAAAAAACCTGGTTTTCTCCTTATAATTTAGTAAAAGATTGATCGCTTGGGCTTTGGCATCTTGTGGGTTTTGCCTCGAACTGAGAGTCGTTTGTTCCCCTGAGGATTATAAATCAGTCCCCCCCGCCCTCTCCTTTCAACATTTCTCCTCCCCGAGACGCGGCCCAGAGCCATGAGCTGGGTTAGGGCAGCAGGAACACTGAGGGTTCACCCCAACCATCCACCCCAGCCTGCCCAAAAAGCATCCCTGAGCACCCAATCATTCCCGCAAAGCACCCATGGGTGCCTGGGGAGGGGAAGGTGAAGGCAGCTGGGAGAAGGGGGAGGCACTCACATGGGGTTGGAGTTGACGGGATGGAGGACGACTTGCGGGGCTCGGGTCGGTGTCTCAGGCACCACGTCTGGGGAGAAAAGAGTGGAGTGAGAGCAGGCTGGGAGGCACACGCAGCCCTTTCCAGTGCCGGAGGCACCCAGGGGATCTAAATCCCACTGCAAACCTCTCTCCAGCCCCAGGTCCAGTTTAGTTACACCCTCAGCTATATCTGGGTATCACCCAGCCCTGCAGCATCTTGGTAGTGCACAGTCCTGCAACAACATACTGGGTTTGGGGAGAAATCCCACCTCAGCACAACCCTCCTGCACAAATCCAGAGGTGAGAAGAGCCAGCCATGCACCCACCCTGCTAAGGGGTATCCCAGCACCCCGCGTTACGGGAGAGACTTTCCAAGAGGTTTACCTGGGAAAATGAACTGCTGTTTGTACTTGTAGTAATGGGAAGCTGGAAGAGAGAAAAGAGGGGTTAAACACCGACCTGCAAGGCCAGACTGCTGCAGAGACACCAAGCTGTGCCCAGTCCTGCACCATGAAATGCCAGTCCCAGGTCCATGTCCCACCCAGCATGACCCAACTCCTCCCACCTCCATCTCTCCAGAGGATGCCACCCGTGATGGCACGTAGGGTGCCAGAGTCAAAAAATTAAGACCATAGCCCTCTAACGATCTGGCTGGATTATCACTTAATTTTTGCAACCATCAGCTACTGCTCTGTGCCATTTGGAGACTGTTGGTGCCATCTGCAATGTCAGCGGTGGTATTTGGGCAGCTGGTTGCCAGCAAAATCTCAAGGGGTTTGAGTGCTCAGCTCCCGACCGGCCTTTGGGAACTGCTCGGCATCATGGAGACACCAAAAAATGGGTTTGCAGCCCATTTTTGCCGTATCCAACCCATCTAACTGTGCATTTCTGCCCTGCTTTGGAGACGTGTCCTTCCTCGGCTCCTTGCCTGTCTCCCAGAGCACTGAAAGGAGCTGGCGGCTGTCAGCAGCGCCAGAGCTGCAGAAGGGTTCTGCGTGGTGGTACCCTCCATCAGCTCCCTGTCACCAGCGGCAAAGCCCAAAGGCTGCTTTGACTCACGTGGGCAGGCAGCTCACGGGCATGAAGCCAGGCAGAGATGCTGAGGCCTCCAGAGGTTGGCACCAGCTCTGAAGGCACCTTCTCCTTAAGCTTCAAGACCCCAAAGACCGTCTTTGACCCCAAAGCTTTGATACCCTGAAGACTGACCTCAGCTCTGCAGCAGGACCTGAGCACCCCTGAGCCGAGATCAAAGGAGGCTCAAAGGTAATTTTGGCAGGAAAAGGTCACCATGTTGCAATTTCCAAGCTCAAATCCTAATCCCCATGATGACCATCTTGATGAGATGAACCATGGAGAACTTCCCGCGCGGGAAGATGAAAGCACAGTAAGTCCTGCTTTGTGTCGGATTGGCTCCTGTTCACCACAGGGCTCTGCTCATCACGGGCATGAAAGCAGGGAGCAGCCACCACCCTGAGCTGCTGGGGTCTAATCCTGCCCTGCTCCATCTGGGGCAAGCTCCAGACAGGCAAGCATGCCAGGGGCTCCTGGACAGCATGTCTGGGTCCCCATAAGGAGATGCTGCTGCCCACTACAGGGTTTACTTCTGTGGTTTCTGCTTTAAACATGAGATAACATCTCAAAAGATCTGCTGGGAGGTCTCTGCTCCAGAAGCAAGGCATGATGGGGCCACAAAACGCTGCACCCTCTGTCCTTTGCCCTCAGACCCAGGCAAGGTGCAGGGCTTGCCCAGCAAGCGGTTTGGGGATGTGAATCACTGTGAGCCTGGCTATCACGCTGCCGAATGTCAGGATGCTTCGGCTCTGGCTGAACCACGCCATGCTCGGCTATAGCAGCATGGAAACCCACACCATGCTCTCGGGTTTGCAGCCATGCTGTGGACTATTCTCCCAGTGCTTGGAAGCTCAGGGGCTGTGGCTGCCAAAATCCCAACCCGGGGAAAGGGAGCTGAGCCTTGACTGCTCCCTGGGGTGCTCAGCTCGCAGCTCCTCCACTGTCTTCCTCGTAGCCCTCCAGCCTCCTGCGCAAGCCCTGGGCACTCTGTGAGCAAGGCTTGTGCACGGCTGCAGCCTCTCCAGGCACATGAAGACCTGTGTTGTTTGGTTGGTGTTTATTCTTTTCCTCCAGCTTTCGGAAATGTTTGTTATTGTGGCGACGGATCCTGCCAGTCAAATCCGCCCTCGCTTCCCTCCTCCTCCTCCTCCCCTCTAGCTGAATGCTTGTCAAGACAGAAGGGAGGAATCACCATGGTACAGCTGGATCAGCAGAGCACAAAGGTGCCGTCTGGTTCCTCCAGAGAATTCCCAACCTTTCTACCCAGACCAGTTCATTAACACTGAGGGTTTTGGCATGCAAGAGGTACCTCCACCTCCCAGCTGCTGCCCAACCCAAGAGGCTCGAGGCCACAAAACAAACAGGAGTCACCAGCCAGCATCTCAGAAATGGGCTGGGGCCACAACTTCCCTTCATCTCCCCTCACCAGGCCCTTTTTGGGAGCAACTGGAGAGGCAGATGGGTGGCTGAGGGCAGTTGAGCCCCTCCCCACTGTCAGGAGTGGTGCTGAGCCATCCCCCTCTGGGCAGGGACTTTCCCTGGAGCAGCAGCACTGCTCCACGGACATCCCAAAGGCAGCGATGCTGAGGCAGGCATCGGTACCTCCTCAGGCCAGGAGGGGCCTTTCTGGCCATTTAATGTAAAGCCTGTGTCCTGCAGCCACCATGACCAAGTGACCTCTTCCACCATCCCCAGAGAGACTGAGCTCCAAGAGCAGATGGGTCCCATGGACCCCAACAAGACTCGGTGGCACAAGCTACACCAGACACCTCCAGCATCAGCTCCTCCCCATGCACGCTGCCAACAGGCTTGTTGGAGGCCCATCACCCCAAAGACACAGAGAAGTCAAGTCAAGAAACCCTCACAGAGAGGGAAGACCTTGCTTCCCATTGGCCACTGAGGCAACAATGTGGGCACACGCCATGGAGGAGGATTCACGCCTGGGAAAGGTTTTGTAGCCTCAAGCCCTGCAGGTTGTCCACAGAGCTTGTCCTGGCTCCATCCCAGAGGTTTTCAAGACCTAACTGGATCAAGACTTGAGCTCTGACCCTGCTTTGAGCACAGAGACTCCCAAGATGCCTCCCAACCAGAATTATCCTAAACTCATCTTTGCTGCCCATTTCTGCTTCCAGCTTTTCCCCATCCCAGCGTAAGTCCAGGCAGGCAAGCAGATGGAGCAGATCCTTACCCTGAGGACACCCCTGGCCATGAGTCCCTCTCATCAGGCAGAAGTAGAGGTGGGGAGCACACAGTACCTGGCAAATTGAACTGCTTCTGCTGGCGCGGGCACTGCGGGGAGGGGTGCAGGGGGGACGGGGGTGTCGCGCTGGGTGGCAGCGGTGGGGCCGGCGAGGAGGGTGTGGAGGATGTGGTGGAGGAGGGGTTGCTGCTGGAGTCTGGCTGGTAGGGCACCGGGATGTGATCCTGCAGACACGGGGAAGAAGAGAAGAAGAGAGGAGCTGGTGAGAGCAGTGCCAGACAGTGCCATTACAAGGCACTCCAGCACGCAGGAGCTGGGTCATCCCACTGCCCCATTTCCAGAAGCCCTAGAAAACAACCAGAGCCCCAGCCTGGCCTTTTCCAAAGCTATCTGTAGGCACAGCTTGCACCAAGGCCATTTCACACCAGAAACGGGGCTCCTCTCCCAACCCCTCCATGCTACGTCCCCATGGTGAGGGTTCCCCAAATCCTGCTGGCTCTTCAGAGCCATGGCCACTGAGACAAGAGTTGGGGACCGCATCCCTGGGGCTCAGACCTTAGAGATATCAAGGATCTGGCAGCCTCTGCTGACCTCTTTCAAGCCAAAAACCCAGCGTCTCGCTCAGAGCAGGGGGCTGAGCCTGGGCAGATCAGCCAATGCATCCCAAGACATCCCTCACCCTTTGTTAACCCTTCCTAACCAAGGCAAGGACGACAGCTTCAAGTGCACCTCTCAAATGGGGAGCAGGTCCTGCCTGGGTATTTTAGGTCTGGAAAGCCAAATTGAGGCCAGAATTTCCCACTTTGTTCCTGATCTTGCTTCCCAACTAGGAGAGACTTAACATGGTCTGACCTTCAGCAGCTCTGAACATTCCCATCTCCAGACACATGAACCCATGGCAAGATCCCTCCATGGTGAGAATATCTGCACGAGCCTCCCCCAGCAGGTGACTTTGTCCAAAGTGCTTAGATTTTAAATGAGCTGGGCTTTCCAGGAAACCCACATACATTTTACAGAGACCATCCTGACACACACAACAATCTTGACTAAGTAAATTAGTTTTTATACCAACAATGAAGGCCACTAACAATAAGATTTCAGTGGTATTCACAGAGAAGAGGGTATTGTTAAATAAATGCCTTTAGAAACACCAAAGTAAGAACGGTGCCCTGTTGTATAAAGCATATTTATAGAGGAAACGTTAACCAGAATGGGATTACTCAGGTCAAAGCCAAATACATATATATATATATACACACATATACACACTGTGCCTCATCATGCTCTGGTTAGAGAAAAGCTAGAGAAGGTGAAAAGACAGCAGAGGCAGAAGGAGAAACAGGGCTGATGCCCTTGGCCCCCAAAGCCTTTGTCAGACAGCTGAGTCACCTCCCTGGTGCCCTCTAATAAAATGAAACAAATCACTGGAAGGACGAGCACTAGAGAGAAAGACACATCTCTATTTCCTCTGAATTCTTGCAATCGCTCTTCAGCCTCAAAAAGCCATTTGCACCACCCCATAACAACAACAAAGGAGATCATTACGCTGAGGATCTCCTAAGAACGTTAGGTTTAAAAACTGCATCCAAGAGAGCATCACTCGGTACCCAGCCTTCACCAAGAGCCAGGAGATGCTGAGGTCTAGGAGGAGCCGTGGGGTCCTGCCAGGCTTTGGCAACCTGTCCCCCGTCACACCAAGGTTTTCCCTCGCTTCGAGCACTTCCAGCCTGCAAACACCTTGCCCTGCCCACCCCAGCATACCTGTGCATGGCCTGCAGACCTGCACTAGCTCCTGCTGCCCGTAAGAAATTTTCCCTGGAAGGCAACAGGCTCTAAATTTCGTCAAAAATGACCCTTTGCCATTTTATAGCTGGTAATGCAGTGCAGAAGCAAGGAAGCCAGGTGGACTGTCAGGTCTGGCTTGACCAGCTTTGCCAGGAACTCAAATTCTGGGCTTGTTTTATTTGTAACAATAAATTTGTTATTTATGGAAATCTCAGGTGGTAGCAGAGACCTTAAACCACTCCAAATTCAGCTTAGATCTGGAGGCCGAGAAGTCACAATACAGCAAGACTGGCAGGACACAGGCTATTTTGAAAGTGCTTGATCCCATTTTATTTTTAAGCCACTTTAATGATGGAGCCATCCTGGGAAACCCAAGGGGCAAGGGGTGCACAGCTCTGCTCACCCTGCCCCAATGCCAAGCTCACCCTTGCTCCGCTCCTTCCATTAGCGCTGGTCCATGGCATTTTTTTTTTTTAATTTAAGCCCCCAGGCCAATTTCTAGGCAGCTCCTACCCACAAGCTGACACATGTCAGTCCCACAGCCATGGATGTTCCTGGAGACCCACAGCCTCCTGCAAGGCTCAGTCCTGGCAGATAACCAGGGAGATGCCCCATCCTGGGGACGACCCAATGGTCTTCCCCTGCCCCAAAAGCAGTGGCAGGACAGGGTCTCTTTTGCTTTTTAATACCTTCTTTTAGAAATTCATCTCCGAGCTGTGCTCCTGCCCATCAAACAGGATCGATGCTCTGGGGAAGGACTCATGCAAGGAACATCCCCGCAGGAAGAGCCAGGGCTCAAGCCATTTTCATTTGAAAATGCCACCGGCTTTGGCACCTTCACATGCCACAACAGCAGCCACGCGCAAAGAACCGGCAAAAGCCACTGGTATTTCAGTGACGCAGAGCCAGGGGCGGGCGCAAAGCGGGTGCTCAAGGCTGGGGAGCAGCTCACCTTGTTGAGTTTGTTGGTTTTGGGGAGCGTCTGGCTGACGTGCAGGTCCGAATACCTGGGGGGTTTCCGCAAGGGGTTGTTGATATCACAGGGCACCGACTCTGTCCGGACTAACCTTGCTGGATTAAGAAGGGAGAGAGGGGGAGAGGGGATGGAGAGGAGGGAGAGAGAGATGGAGAGACATCAAAGCTTCGAAGGAGCACTTGGGGTCAACCCTGCGCTTGCAAACTGCTCTTGAATGGCTCTCCAAAGCAATCCCTCCAGCTGCTCGGATCCTGCCCCGGATGGCAGCCAGACTTTGGGCTCCCCTCTGCACCCTGGCTACAGCCAAATCCTGCTACGATGTGGGGGGGTTAAAGCCCCCTGCGGTGGGATGCGAACGTCACCCTCCTCCCCACACTGAGGGGCTGGAATACAGGGAGGCTCAGCTGTCACCCCTCGAGCCAGGGGTGTCAGCCAGCATCGGCAGGAGGAACCTTCCTCTTCCTCACCACAGCTTTTCAGGGAAAAGGGGGGAAGAAGTGGCGAATGAGCCAGCTCAGAGCATCCTGCTCTTGGCAGGGAGATTTTGGGGAGAGGGGAAGCCAGTCTCCAGCCTGGGGGACTTGGGAATGGGCTGGTTGCAAGGCAAGGCATTTAAGAACTTGGGGGGGGGTGCTATTTCATTGATGCTGAGGCCACCCCAAAGCCACACTGCTCCTTGCTCCCCCACCAAAACACACAGCGGGCAGCTCTGGCTCTTGCGACGTTGCAGACCACAGCCATAAATCCCAATTTCTGCCCATCCTGGGAGCCCACCTGCCCCCAGAAGCATGGGATGCCGCTTACCCTGCCTCTTGGTCAGGGTTTGCAGCAGCTCAGAGCACAACGGGGTCTTCAGCCCCCTTCCACCCAAATGTGTTGCAAGCGAGGGCACAGGTGACAAG